ATGCATCTGTGGATGCATGACAAGGTGTGGCTGGCCTTCCTAACTGCCTCCCCACACTGCTGGCCCATGTTCATCTTGGAGTCAATGATGACTCCAAGATCCTTTTCTGCCTCCGTGCTGACAAGAGGGGAGTTCCCTAACCTGTAGGTATGGTGCCGGTTGTTCCTCCCCAGCTGCATCACCTTGCACTTGTCTGTGTTGAATCCCATCCTATTCTCATCTGCCCACCCTTGTAACCTGTCTAGGTCTGATTGTAGCATGTTGCTTCCTTCTATTGTGCCCATGTCCCCCCACATCTCAGTGTCATCAGCAAATTTGAACAGGGTGTTTTTTACCCCCTCATCCAAATCACTGATGAAGATGTTGAACAATGCGGGCCCAAGGACCGAGCCCTGCAGAACCCCACTGCCCACGTCCTTCCAGGTTGAGAAGGACCCATCCACTACCACCCTCTGGATGCGGCCCTCCAGCCAGTTGGTGACCCATTTGACTGTGTTGGTGTCTACACCACAGCCCCCCAGTTTCTTAATGAGAACCGGGTGAGAGACAGTGTCAAAAGCCTTCCGGAAGTCCAGGAAGACTATGTCCGCTGCTACCGCTGCATCTAATGATCTGGTGATCTGATCGTAAAAGGCCACCAGTTGGTCTGTATCAAGTCTGCTACAGCATGCTAATTAGCACACTCCAGTCAGCCTCTGCAATTCATGTATCAGCATCCCTCTGCTTCAAAATGGTGGTGAAGGTGCTTTAACTAAAGCTTGTTCAATGAGCTGCCACTATTCTGAAGCACAGGGGTGCTGATACGCCAGATGCTGCAGGCACTTTAATTGGATTTTCTCTCCAGTTCCCAGTGGATTACTCTGGAGTAATTTAAACAGTGTCAACATTCAGCATTTAAGACATTACAGGTAGAGACCGAGGTATTTAGGCACCTAACCCATTGAAATGGGAGTTAAATGAGACACTGAAGTGTATTAAAGATGTCTTGGTTCATACACGAGACAACAGTTAGGTTTCTAATGTCAAAGTTTTAACTACATACTTTGTTGTGAGAGAGTCAATGTCCTCAGTGCCCATTATTAAACATAAGATGGTATGCATGTACACTGCTCTGCAGGGGTCATTTGTAAATGGAAATGGAACATAATTTAAAATTATTCTCTGTGAAAATGGTGGTAGCATCTGAAGTTTTGGTTTAAAATTATCCTGTAAGGCACTGGTGCAACAAGGTTAGCAATTAAGACTTGTGTTCTGGACCTCTTTTACAATGGTCTAATGTATTTCCATCATGTTAAGTCAAAACAGTAAAAAGAAGGCATTAGAAAAGTCTCAAACAGAATTAACCAATCTAATGTTGAAATTTAACTTACAAGGCTCTCACTTGAATATCCACTCCAGTCCCTACTCTGTTGTGTTTTTTTATTATTATTTTAACTAATTGCTGGCTCTTGTCTATCCTATACACCATTCTTATTTCTAAAGTACAGCTGTACTGAACATCTCCTGTGAACAGGAAATATTTAGGTTACATCAAGAGATGATGGATTATGCCTTACAGGTTGTTAACAGTCTGGAACACAGATTGGTTTATTGACTATACATGTCTATTTAAAACCTTAAAAGAATAGAAAATACACAAAATATACACTTCATACACAAAGTAAAACCATCCTTGTCTTCGGTTTAACATAACATTGGATATTTTATAGAGTTACGCATTGCTTCTACTAAAATTCCACACATGAAGCCATCTTTATACCAGCTCCTTCATCAGCAACAGGCTCATTGCAAAGTAAATTAGTTCTTCATATATATGCAGCAGAAACATTGAAAACTCAGGTTCTAGTCATCACTGTCACTCCCAGACTCACTCAACTGCAAGTCATTTCCTATTAAAAAAACAACAAAACACAGGGGCTAGAAGTTAATTCATACTTTGATTATATTCGAATTGAAGAATTATTGCATTTAAACTGTAGGAGATTTAAACAACAATTACACAGGCATGAACATGAACAGCATCTCAGAAGCTTATCTAATATAATCACTTTCTGGATGCAAGAACATTAACATTTGCAGAGTTTCTGTACAGGCTGATTCAGGCACAGCTGAATCTCCTTGGCTCCAGAGCCAGACAGGCTACTCCCTATTCAGCAAGAAGCCTTTCCTTCTCTAGCAGCTTTGGAATGAATTCCACAGCCTCCTCCCAGCCACAATGCCATATACGGCTTTGGGGCAGGACACTGGGAAATTTCCTGGCTCCATCTACACTATTCAAATAGATTTTTTTTCTTTAATGGTAGTTTTGGTAACAAAGATAGAACGAACAAGTAGTGATCAGTAGGAAAGAATCTGAAAGTGGCAGTGCTCAAGAGAACTGGGCTGACCTCACATGGCACTCCTTTTTACAAGTCAACCAGGAAGGGCACACCCCGTGCTTCAGAGGCTCAGGACCTCACAGCATACTCATTATAAATAAATAGCACCTGCCCCACTCTTACAGTGTTCTGGTCATTTACATGTTTGTAAGCCTGTCTTTTTCAATATGCCCACCTCCCTTTGCACCCCTGCTTCAAATGCAGGCCTGCTGCAGAAGACCTACTCAACACATACTGTTCCTAGATTTCTTCTCCCCAAAGTCTCTCTCAAAACTAATGTTGGGGTTTCCATGGTACACCACCTTCCCCAGGGTGGATGGTGTTCATGTGACAGGTAGGTATCAGTGACTTGGATCATGGATATATGCTGGATCAAGCCTCTGGAATATGAGCATATTCCAAGCATGGCAAAACTGTCCTCCTTTGGGCGCAGGAACATGAACATACACAAGTTACTGCATGGTAAGCTACTGAGAACTTAGGGTGTTAGTTACTCTGAGATATCTGCTAGTGTGCATACTTGTATGCCACCACAGCTGAACACTAGATTGTCCCATTTTCACTGGGGTAAAATCCCTCCTGTTTATAGAGGGAAATGTACACACAGGCCATTGGTGTATTTTAAGATCACCCCCTGGCTTGCCTCATGGAAACTTGATTGTGTGACCATACCCTGAACTAAAGCCTAGCCAAAGTCTACTAAGTCAATGGAAAGTCTCTCTCAGACTCTAGTAAGCTTTAGATCTTGCCCTACAAGAAGAACTGAATACTAATTAACACTATTAATGGTTTTCCATAGGTACTGGACTCATTATGAATGGTTAGGATGCGCTATTTAGTTAGTGCATTCCAACACTGCACTGACAGCATCTGATATCCATTTGAACATGTAAATCCTATATTTATTTGCATACAAAGACCCCCAATTAACCACTTGCAGGTCATCAAGAAATGTACTCATGACTGCCACAGGCAAAATTAAGAATTTTTTTATGAAACCCAGTCCTGCCTTTTTGTAAACACTGTACTGAAAACTGATTAAGATTTTTCCCCAAGGATAAATCAGTTAGTTGTAATAGTTGACTGTTCTTTTTAAAATGGAGATTTTAAAAGCCCTGCTATTCTATCCCCCATTCTATCCCCATCATCCCTTCCAAAGCATGGCAGGAAAGAAAAGATACAGTTCTTCCTCAATAACAAGTCCAAACTACCTCATCCCTCACACCTTCTTGAGTGCCAAAACCCTCATCTGTATCCTGAAAATTTCTACAAAGTTATTTTCAGTTACCAAATCTGCAGACCATTGAAAACCTGAGGGCAGCAAGTTATTTAACTGAATTCAATGCAAGTTAAGTAACGCAAGAAATGCGAGACTGAAAAACGAACCATGCAGTCATTTTCATATTTAGTTTGCTTGAACCTGTTACAGAAGCCACAGGCTTTGTCACAACTTTTAAGTTTAGTTTGTCAGACAATGTGGAGGAAATAGACAGGGAACCCATGTCTTTTGACCAGCCATGTAGTTTCCTCACCCCTTTTCCATCTCCTACAGTGTGGTCAGGGCAAGAAGAGAAGACATTTGAGGGGACAGGATTGCATAGTTTAGCTAACCCAGGGGCGAGCAATTATTTTGGGCAGAGGGCCACTTACTGAGTTTTGGCAAGCCATCGATGGCCGCATGACAGGCAGCCCAGGGCAGATTAATATTAATTTTCTAAATTTTTAGGGCCCCCACAGGCCAGATAGAATGGCCTGGCAGGCCGCATCCGGCCCTGGGCTGCATTTTGCCCACCCCTGAGCTAACCTGCGCTATACTGAATGTGAGGTTGCAGGTTTCTGGTAGACAGAAAAAAATTACACCGAAAAGAAAAAGCAGGAGAAAAGTGCTGTGTAAACAGCATGGCTAAATTAATGTTGTAGGAACAACCTTTGTTTCTGAGACATCCTGGTTTTGGAGTGCTTGATGTGTCAACCTTAATACAACATTAATAATATTTACATTTAGTCTCTGAAGCATTCAAGAAAAGGGAGGGATAAAAATTCCAGTGATACACGGTTTACGGAGTTTGCCATGTTTAATCCATTAATCCTAGGCTCAGGCTAAATGCTCCTTACCCTCTTCTGGCAAATTTACAAACTCTGTAGTAATCCGGGAATCTAAAAACAGCAGAAGTCTCTAAATCTACACTAAGTTCAGTTCTGTACTCTTCATCAAGGTTACAGGGTGAGCTGCATTTCTTCTCCATCCTCTTTTCTCTTCAAGTGTTTCTTTCTCTGACCTAATGTTTGCACCTCTCTCTGGGCACAGTCCCATGATTCCCTTAATCTCAGACCTGGGCTCAGGCTATGCCATGACAAATAGCAACTGTGATTTCTCAGCAGGCCTAACTGGGTTCAGGACCTGCCAGTTCTTCACGAGCTGTTGCCAGTGCTTAAGGCACAGCTTTTTAAACCAAGGAATTATTTAATCTTAGCAGTAAGAACAAAGCAAAGCATAAGTGAAAGGATTTTAAAACAACAAAAGAAATGCACACATACCTAGCTTATCTAAAACTTATCATCCCTCCAAAAGCTTGGGAAAGCCTAACTTTCTCAGGACCCAAAACAGGGCATCTCTGCAAACAGTGCTCCCATAAGTAGGGACCTACTGAATTCAGGGTGGCAACCCCCAATTTTGGGGGCAGAACATGGGACCTGGCAGCCCTTTTGCAGGTGGAGCACAGGGGGCCTCTGATTAGCTAAAGGGTCGTGATGGCCCCATCATTCACCAGTGACCAGCTGCAAGGATTGCCTGTCATATGGCTCCACCCCTCACTGCTGATTAATGGAGGGACAGGGCCATATGACAGGTGCCTTTGCAGCCAATCAATGGTGAGGGGTGGGGACAGCAGCCATCTTGCCAGGAACAGGCAGACACCCCTCTCCCTATCCTTTTGGGGAGCCAGCATTTTCTTTTCAGAAAGTTCCCCCTCAGATTTTGTGGGCAATGCCAGATTTCACAGAATCTGAGAAACTGCAATTTCAGTAGGTCTTTACTCATAGTAAGGACCTGAGGGCAGCAAGTTATTTAACTGAATTCAATGCAAGCATTCAGAGGGAGACTTTGTAACGGGTCTATTTCTTGGCTCCCAGCCAGGTAAAGCAAAGCCTTTGTTTTTGTAAGCCAGGTTCATATTTTTACACCTTTACATCGCCAGCCTGGGTATGACCATGAACTGCATCCAACTGGAGGGCTTGGTGGCAACACTGTTGGGGCTACTCGTGACAGCGTAGCTCCTATAAAATACCACAAATATTGCAACCTCCGGAGTAAGGTGAGTATAGGGTGCCTCAAAACCATAGCCCCCACTTCTTGTGGGTACTCCTTGGTTGAAGAAAGGCTAAGGGACATCACCCCAACAGAAACATGCCCTTACTGAGGAGTCAGGCAGTCAGCAGCAGCTCAGATCTGTTGGTCTCTGGCAGAAACTACAACCATTGAGGCTCTGAACACCTGGACTTGGTCTGGCCTTTGGACTCTGTCCCCATAATCAAAAGGGGGGGGGGGGGG